ATACCTGTAATACTTGCACTTTTGTTGGCATACACTACTCTTTTGAAACTGGATATCCACTTTTCTGAGCAGGACGTACTCTTAATACCCCAAATTAGGTACCTCATATTCTGAAGTGGCCTTGCATATCTATCTATTTTGTAATGCCATCTACTCAAAGTTATGAATTGCTACTCTTTTACATACTCCTCTACAAGATGAGTGGGAGATTTTTAAATCTGTCCTGGGCTTTCAGAAAACTTTATTTTCAGACCTGCTTTTAGAAGTGCGAGTGCTGAATTCATTTTAAAACTAGAATAAATCTTTAAATTAAATATTGACTCAGTTTATGAAGGGAATCCAACATGCTTTAACTGAAATGTGTGCATTGTCCTCTATACCTTTGTGTCTCTGTCTCATGATACTGCAAAGTGCTTATGGTTTTGCTCAGTGGACCAACCAAGTGCTAAATTGAGCAAAGTAAACAAGACTTGAACTAAAGTTAAGTCTATTCACTTTTCATCATGGGAAACCTATGTTTTCCACCAAAGCCCAAGGAAATATATTCTGTTTTGGGGCACGGGAAGAGAAGGGAAGGGAAGGAAAGAGAACCAGGAATATTTTTTTTGTTTGTTTGTATCATGGGTCTAAAAGAAAATGGACTAATGTTATCGGCAAAACAAGTAGTAATTGCTATTTAAAGCTATAGCACTGAACATAAAACTAGTTTAGATCAATGCTGTAGAAGCATTATTAGTCATTGTATCTATTCTAGAGAATTAATTACTTTCAGGATAATGGACTCTTGTGCATCACTGAAATGGCTCTAATGAACAAATATTACATTAATTGATTTAAAAACGATTTGCCTCAGTTTAACCTTCTTATATCTTTATCATTTTGCTGTTTCTTGTTTAACTTTTCACACTAAACTTGTTGGCTATTCCTCCCTCTTCCTCCTTTTCTTTGGGAAAGTAAAGGCTCGAGTACCTTTTGATGGGGGTGCAGGACATGAAACAGAGAGAAACACTTCAGGATACCTGAAAATGACTGATTAAGTTTCAGTAAGCATTAATTCAGTGATTCTCAACCTTTTCAGACTCCAGGCACCCATTGGTAAATGCCAGCTCTTAGTTTTCACTCCTTTTTTTTAACAATAAAAAATTCTGCTGCTGCAAAGAACTTGCAAAACCCACAAGAGGTCAAAATGGTTTTAACATTAAGGAATCCAATTTGAAATCTCTGGGTCATCTCGTGAATCATGTTTGCACAACTCACAGTGCTAACATTGTTTGGCACCCCATGGTACTCTGAAAGGATGTCAAGGCACCCCTGTGGCACTTTGGCTGAGAATCACTGCATTAACTCTGTTGATATTGTTTGTCCATATTTGAAAGGGTTGGATAGTCTAATGCTCTGATTCGTGGTGCAAGGGTGTAGTAACATCACAGTTTAGTCCGAATATGATTCGTGGGCACTTGTACATGTGATGGGAGTTTAGTCCCCTAAATTGAAATGGTGGGTTTCTAACTGTACTATTAAAAACCCACCACTTCAATTTAGGGGCTTCCATCACTGTTATGGTGAGGGGCTCCAACCCTTTTTTGTTTGTTTTTTTCTTTCTTTTCTCTTTTTCCATAGCCTGCCCACATGTCCTCTGGCCAGGGGCCGAGTGACCCCTGAGCTGTGGGAAGCTCTGGTCCTTCCCTGCATGGTGGCAGTGCCCCCTGGGGCTGCCCAGGTGGGTAGTTAGTGGGGGAGTGCTGCCCTAGCTACGGCTTGGGCAACAGTTGGATCAGGCTGGGTGCTGCCTCCAAGCTGGGGCAGCACCCACCCATTAGCCACCCACCCAGGTGGCCCTGGGGGGCACTGCTGCCACAGAGGGAAGCACCAGGACTCCCTGCAGCTCAGGGCCTGCCAGCAGCTCACCCCTTGGCCATGGGAGAGATGGGCAGGCTCCACGGGGTGGGGGAGGATCAGGCTGGGCCCCTCACCACTTTTTTTTTTCTGGCAGAGCCTGCCCACATGAGCTGCCAGTGGGTCGAGCAGCCCCTGAGATGCAGGGGGTCCCAGTCCTTCCCTCTGCAGCAGCAGCAGCACCCCCTGGGGCTTCCCAGGCAGGGTGGTAGCAGGCCAGTTTGTAGCTTTATATCTTTTCTGCTTCCTATTAATGGCCAGCACTGTTTAATATATTTGTTTGACTTTCTAAACCTGGCTAATTTTAGGTTTAGATCATTTGTTGTGAGCTGCAACCCATTTAGCAAAATGCAGCACAGCAATCTCAGAGCTTCTAGAGTGAGAAGCGCTTATTACCAAATATAAACAGGGAATTTCATCTGACAATGTCTTTTAATTGTATATTGTATTTCTTAACCCCCTACTAGCTTTTGATTATGGAGCCTCCAGAGATTCCTGCAGTTTGTCTGCTGCAGTCACCAAGTCTCAGTAAGGATTCAAATGTTTCCCTCCACTCTTCCTGTGGAGCTCAGATTCTTGCCCAATCCCCCACCCCCAAAAAAACTCATGGTTGGCATGAAAGAAAGCTATGTTTTTTTCCTTTCACTTCCTCTATCCCTTTGTGTATGAAAAAGTCTTCCTTTCAGTAAAGTAAGACTCAGCCAAATGATCTGGATGCTCAGAGTTAATACAGTGGGGATGAGCCTCAGAGGCAGAATGACCAACTCCTTTCTCCCCTCTGGATACTTAAAGCTGAACAAACTTGGACAATAGTGGGGTGGTTTTTGCTTTATTGTATATTTACATGTATTTGACATGAAACGTATTGCACACACACTGTATTAAAAAAAACATTTGGGCTGCAAAATCAACTACTCAGAAGTTAGGAAACATCAGAATTAGGGTGGTCTGTACAACCTTAATGCAACCCCCTTGTCGTATACGTTATTGTTCAAAATCTCGTGTTTTTCTTTTTTGTGTTTTCCTTCTTCCCCAGAAGAGTCCCTGTTGGGGTAGAGCATAGACTTGTTCTACAGGTGAATATGAGTTGTTTAATAATGGGGGCTGTTGTCTCACTTGTTGGAGAAGTTTGGAAGGTGGCAGTGATGAGGCAGGGACAGCAGGAGCAAGGAGATGCTCATAGTTGAGGATGCTGAATCCTATTTGGAGAAGTGGATTCTATTCCTACCTCTGAGACAATTTCTATGCAAAGCTAGTTGAATAATTTCAGCCAGACCTTTTTGCAGGTGGTCGCTTCTTGCATGCCTCTCAGTTTTTGGCTCCCCAAATAAAGTATAGAAAATAGATATCCTGGGGTCTGACTTTTCTGAAATGTCACATGTTTAGAAATGTGCGCGCTATATCAGTAGGATCCATGTATAAATGTGTCAACTGCTATTGAATTGTAACTATTCTGAAAAGTCAGATACTTAGAATTATAGAAAAGTAGGGCTGGAAGGAACCTCAGGAGGTCATCTAGTCCCAGCCCCCTGCTTATCTAAGCCATCCTGTACAATTATTTTTCAACTCTATTCTTAAAACTGCACAAACAGCCCCCTCGCTCGGCTGCCGGGCACAATGCCTGAAAAAGTCAAGATGCCCGGTAATCTCAGGTTCCGTTCCAAGCCATCTGGGGGGGATGTGCACACGTGTCTGCTTCCTTGATTTCCTCCCTTCCCCCAACTCCATTCCCAGAAAAACTTAATTCCACCTGCCCTTGCCTGCTTCCCAATCCTGACTTCCCCGCTGATGGCTCCTTATCCCAGTTCAAGTCATCTTCCTTCCTCATCTGCATGCCTCAGGATTTTTGTCTCTCTGCTCTTGCCTGCCAGTGCCTGTCCTGAGGCCACAGCATCCGTGATAGGGCCCTGAACACTCTGTTGCTCTCTGGTTTAGTGCCTACGGGATCTGTGAGCTGAAGCTGTGAATTTGGAGCCTCTTCAATAAGGACAGAACTCTGGATTTTTGTCTCTTGAAACAAATCTCTGAACATATGTAAACTGAAGCTGCTTCTTTGACATTACAGCATGGCCACATTTTACTGTCGTCTTGAAATCTGGTAGAGGGGGAGTTCTGCCCGTGCCATGCTGCAGTCTGGTAGCATATCATCCTGTTAGGAGGGGGGCTTTGATTTACACTGCAGCTGAACTGCAGGGAGAAGCAATAGCAGCAGCTGGGTCCCAATGCCTGTCTCCTCCTCACCTGAGCTAGGTTATTCTGCTCCCCCAGCCTCGCTAGGACTGCTGCTGACACTTGCTGTACAGAATTCACTCCACTTCTTGTGTGTATTTTGATCTCAAGTGCAGCAGTAGTGTTACTAAGATGACCGTATCAAACTAAAGGTCCAATTTGCATGCTTCCTGCTTATGATCTGGCTGATCAGAAGATTGACCATGTCAAAACTTTTGATTCAAAGGAATCAGATTCATGTTAAGGTGCTACGTGATCTTCTCTATGCATCAGTGCTGCTGAGTTAAGTGTCCAAGGTATATGTGCTTTTAGTTTTCCGTACCAGAATTTGTTTCCAAGGTTGAAGAGATCAAACTCTTCTTGAGAAAGGAGTATTGTGGTGTGGGGGGAGGTGCCTTTAGTAGGAGTCCTTTATTTTCAGATTTCTGTTTCTCTGTGGGCTATCTCCAGTTATATAGAATTTTCTGCACCTGTAAACTGTTAGTGTGTATATATAGGGAATACATTTCCTATCTGCTAGCACTTATACCATTTCTTCTTGTGGAATATACATTAAAATTCACATGCAAATGTAATTTCACTTTAAAAAAAATCCAGCTGTCTCGTTCTTGTGTTTCTGGTTTTGGTCACGGTGCTGACTGCGTATAACTTTGTTTGCAGAGTTCTAAACAAATTCTTACTTCACTATTGGAGGAGCTGTATGTCCAAACCTGCCTGAAAATAAAGTAACTTAGTAGGGACTGGCTTTTCCACCTGCAAAACAACAGACCAAGCAACAACAACAAAAATATGTGCTCTTCAAATCATGCATACCTGATGTTTATACCATTTAAGACAGAAATTCAGGTAGTCTTTTCTTTTTTCTTGTCCTGCAGGCTTATCCTAGCAGCTAATAGAGATGAGTTTTACAACAGGCCGTCCAAGTCAGCAGATTTTTGGGACAGCAGCAATGAGATCCTTAGCGGTATGTAATTATTTTTAATGAAAATTGTCTGGAATATTTTTCCCCATGTGGATCTAGTTGCATATCTGTAACGACATCTTCAAAAACATACAAATACTCTGGAGGGTGGTTTTTTCAGACCCTTTGTACAGTGGTTGAAAATGAGGTAATGGGTTTATAAGAGAAGGCTAGATCTAAGTTGTATTGCTGTTTTTATGGATATTATGTAATCTGTGGATAGATTTTATTGATTTTTTTTTTCATTTGTAAACCGTAATATGAAAGGGAATCATTCAAACTAAAGCGAAACTCATGGAATATATTCCATAACAATAAACTGTAAATTTACAGTGACAGTTCAAGGATACATTTATACGTAGTCTATTTTGAGTATTATTTCAGTTAGCTGACTGCAAAAAGTCTTGAACTGTTTTGTTTTGTTTTCATCATATTCTCTTATATTTTGGCTCAAGTGGCATGATAAAAATGTGTTGCATTGTCCATCATAATAAAAATATTCAGGATATTTAATAACTGGAGATTAATCTCTTATAACATACTTGGTAGAGGTGACCCTTAAAATAGTTTAACTTAAATAAGGCTCAAAAAAAAGATTTTTTTTTTTTTTGCCATACACATCTCACTTTCTTATCGGTTTGCAATATATCGACTAATAACCAAAGCTATTCCATAGCATCCTGGTTTATTAGCTTTGTGCCTGCTGTCACTAAGAAGGCTGTAAAGTTACTCAGTTGTCTAGTTTCTCTTTTATTGAAAATCTATCTTTATCTGTAGAGATGAATTTAAGTATAATCAGTTATAGTATTTTGCTCAGAAACAGTGAGGCACAAATAGAGCATTGTTTAAATACAAAATTCTGACTCTGAAAAGACTCTTCATTGATGCTGTGTGCTGTTGTCATTGGCAGGGAAGCCTGTGAGGATAAATTACTCCTACTGCACTGCAGCCTTTTCCTTTTCTGAAATTCTGGCTGATATTCCAAATTCATGCCAGACATTCTGGATGCTGCTTCCCTTGTTAGAGATGCAAATAAATAAATAAATAACAATAGAATAATAACCCAAAAGCTTTGAAATCTGAATTTGAACTGAATGCCGGCCTGCAGCTGAGGCATCAAAATCCACTTCTGATGTCATTTTTTTAGTCTGTTTGCACATTTGTTTTAGTTTCATTTGACACACAATGGCGGTGTCAATTCACAATTCTGTGCAGGTCTCATTTGTACGCATATTAAGCTAATAAGGTTGGTGGTGACTTAAATGAAGGTAGTGATAAAGATGAAAAAACATATATAAGACTTCATTTTTGTTGGTCATGTGATTTGACATTGATTATCATTCTTGATGCTTACCCTGATGCTTGTTTTTTGTGTTACTGTTAGGTGCTGTCCATTGGTATCTTGGCTCTTTTTCTTTATTCTTAAAAGTTAAGTAGTAGGAATGACAGTCTTATGTGAAGATCTCATCACAGAAAAACTGAGATTGTTTAGTGATACTTGAAAATGAGTTAGTTTCTGACAAAGGCCTGAGAGAATTTCACCTCAAACAACAATCTCATGATATGAAGGTGCAGAAGTTTAGCGTTCATTACAAAATGAATATCCTTAATCAAATTTTATGGAAAAACAAGGGGTTTAATTTCATTTAAGAAAAAAGGAGTTCAGTGCAATTTGTTGGTGAATATTTTTTCTTTAAACTGTAAGAGAGGCAACTTTTTCCTATGATGTTTTGGTGATAATTTTAATTTTAGTAATTCTGTTGAAATCACCAGAATCAATATTCTATTTAGATAATTGCATCCTTTTAAACCTGTTCCAGTTATTGTGATGTCCAGAAACCTGACACACAACAGCTAATCTTTCCTTGGCATGCTGAATATAAATTAACAAATATTCTATATGAGAGATTTCTTTTATCATGTAGTGTAAGCTTGAATTCTGATCTAGATTTTACTTTACTCATACTCCTTCCTTCCAGCCGTCACTCATCTGCTGAATGCTAAATATAGCAGAATTTCAAACACTTTTTCATTTACTTCTTTATTCTTTTTTTCAGTTTCTTCTTTCCGTTTAAAAAAAAAAAAAAAAAAAGGCAGCTTGATTCTCCAGGCATTAATCCAGCCCTATTGAGACTCGAGCTTGAAGTTAAGAAGTTGTAATACGAATGTAAAGTCTTCTGAAAAGTCAGTGAAGCTGCAGCCAAGTACTGATTCTGTCTTACTTCTGCTTATTCTTTAGGTCTGGATATGGAGGAAGGGAAAGAAGGTGGGACATGGTTAGGAATCAGTAAGAAAGGCAAGATGGCAGCGCTGACAAACTACATGCAGCCAAAGATTGATAAAAATGCAAAGGCAAGAGGTAAGGATTGGGAATGGGAAAAGAAAGAAAATGTATAAGTGGATAAAGCATGCATGGAGAGAGCTGCCCCAGTCTTATAAATTGAGCTGTTGTTTTTCACCTCCTTTTCTAAATCAACAGTATATTACGTGATTTTTCTGTACTCCCTATTCTGTCATTTTTGAAGAGTTCTCTACCCACAGAATGATCTACCTTTAAACTGCTTGTGGCTTGGTTCTTAAATTTTCCCAGATGGATGCATAAGATTCCTTTTGTGGTGTATGAAATCTTAAGTAGGATTAAGCAGGAGAGGCTACATTACTTATGGTCATTGGCACAACCACTCCTGGAACACTGCATCCAGTTCTGGTTGAAAATTGTATGTTGAAAAATTCAGAGTAGGTTCACAAAACCATCTTAGTGTGACAAAGCCACCTTGAGCCTTGTTTGGGGAGAGTGGCATATAAATCAAATAAGTAAATAAATAAAACTGCAGGAATTCAATCTGTTTAGCTTATCAAGGGGTGACTTGATTGGTCTGTAACTACTTCTGTGGGTAATTTTGATAATAAGCTCTTTAATGGCAAAGTTATGACAATGGTAGACAAATTCTGAGTTGAAATAAAGCACACATTTCGACAGGTCAGGATAATTAAACACTGGAACCATGTTTCTGCATCACTAGCGTTTTTTTTAAACCAAGATTGGATTTCTTCCCCACCCTCCTCCTGTGCTCAATTATATACTCTGGTTCAAACAAATTAATTCAGGGAAGTCCTATGGCATATGTTATACAGGAGGTCAGACTAGAGGATCACAATGGTCCCTTCTGGCTTAAATTGTTCAGGACATAAAATGCAAAGGCAAAAGGAGGAAAAAAATCTCCTAAAAGAGAATTAATATAATTTTTAAGGGAAAAAAATAGGTCAGTTTGTAAATCCTTTCTCATGAGGTTTTGCAGTGGGGAAACAACATGATAAATGGATCAAGTAAGCCATGTTTGTATACCATTCCAGAGTTACAAAGGAACATGAGGAAGAAATCATTAGGAGTGTGCAAAACGGGTCTTATTTGATTTGGATTTGGCCCGAATCGGGGACAGTGATTTGATTCGTTGATTTGGATCACTGTCCCCAATTCGATTCGGCCAAATCAGAATCTGAAGATTCAATGCTAATTCGGAGAATCAGTGATTCAGCCATAGACACAACTTTAAATGTTTTTTCTTACGTACCTCATGATATCAGGCGCGGCTTGTGAACGCTGCAATGCTGGAGCGGATGGAGCGTCCCACAGGAGCATGGGGG